GAGTTTTGGTACCAGAGTTTGGTATCGGTTTATACGAGTTTATGAAGTTGTTGGGCATATCTGCGGGTAGATTGTTAAGAAGTGTTGTCATTACGAGATTTATGACATTTTCTATCGTGTTCAGACCATCGAATATAGAATCTTCTGTTGCAGTTGCTTTTGTAACAATTTGGCTGGTGTCCTCGTCAAAATTGAAATCGCTTCTACTATTACTGTTACTGTCGCTGAGTGTGCTTTGTGGAGAATCTAGCCTGAACCTTTTGGCTGGTGTGTCGCCATTTTTTATCTCTCCCAAACGTTTATTGCGTCTCTCTTTGGGTATCGCTTTGTTTATTTCCTGTGGAGTCATGCCTATATCTAATAGGAGTTGGGTGAGTTGAGGCATCATATCATTTGATGAAGGGTGTTTGACCAAAATTAATATTTGCATTTTCAAGTGTTTTCGCACTGAATTCACTTGTGATTGCGATAAAGTTGGCGGTAGTGTTGTGTGTAGGTCACCTAGCGCTTGGACTACACTCGGTAAGTACTTAGGTCTTAGTTTAGCCACTAAACAGAGTGTTGTCATACAAGCCATGAGGTTAACACTCGAAATGTGCTGTGAATTATGAAATTTAAGCAGCAACTTGAAGATATGGCTGAAATTAAAAACAAACATCTTAATGTGATGATATTACAGGTTAATTTACAACTATTAATTTATTTTAACAATAAATATAAATATGTTGGGATACACACAGCACCATCTAGTTTCATGGTAAGCTACAAGGCTCGTGTTATGGATACCAGATAGTTGATACACTACACATATACGAGTATGTATGTATAACATTACATATATACATAATATTATAAATATAAACCCCCTCAACTGGATTACAAACATTCATGCTTATCACATAAATAAATGCCCCCAGCTGGACTTGAATCCGCGACACCGCTGGCACAGCAAGTAGGGTCACTACAAACTGAGCCAAATGTGTCATCCTCAACTGTCATCGACAATATCTTGATAATTTTGGAAACATTAAACTAATCAACTTATGGGTTAATATTTAATTTCCAAATTCAAATTTCAACCCATGAATACTGTTTCATAACTAAGCAGTCTAAAGATGTTTTGGAATCTGTTTGTTCTTTAATTTTCAAACATTTACTTCTTAAATTTATACAAGTTTGAAATGTTATTAAAAGTTTCTGACCAAATTTTATTATAATTTCTGATGTAGACATGGGGTTGAGAGTACAATGTGGAAAAGTGAAAGAAGAGCCACCAGAAGAGTAGAATAAGACTTATATACCTACTTGCTAGTTGTAAACTTACTCAGATTCTTCTTCCATTGCATTTCTGTTTAAGAATGGTAAACGGTTTGGCAAATTCTCCAAACTGAATTCTTCACTTGTATCTTCACTAGCGTTGGAACTTTGGAGAAGAACAACTTCTTCAAGGAACTTGATTGAGTGAGTCCTTATACCTTCATTGTCACTATCTATCATGTTCAGGATAAGTAACTGAAATATTTAAATTTATTTTTTAATCTGAAGTATTTTGATTATTATTGATTTTTATATAATTGCATATATTTTATTAGTCACTCAGTAAAATTAGTGTCTATAATTGGCATTGGCAAAAAGTATTTTCTAAGTCATCTAGCAATACTATTCTTAGTAGTAAAAATTCAATAGATAAAGCAACTGTAAAAAAAAAGATAATTACACTCATAAAATGTGAATACATGATGCATTATTATTATTATTGACAGAGCAAGCGAAGCATTACAGCTTCAAGTCTGGCAGAATTTGCTTTCCTCTGTCAGTTTGTTGTGTACTCCTCTACAGGTTGTATTTTACAACAGATCTGGATGAAACTTGATATACAGATTTTATGACTTTATAGATTTTTTTTTATTAGAGGGGTACTGCCTCCACAAAGGAGCAAAAAGTGGGCTACTAGATATTTCCGCCTTATGAGATCCGATTTCAATAGTCCTTCTTAAAAGGTAGTAACTATAAATTGGTCTCATAACAATTTAGTGAAGGCCTGATGAGGATATTCGGTGTTATGAGCAGAATAGCTGCTCAAGTTACAGTAAAATGCTCACGTAACTTTTGTCGTATATTAATTGTTGCATAAAAGTTTGTGCTGTGAGGTCTACTATTCATAGAAATACTAGGTATTTTATATATTTTTTTTACAAAACAAAATCTTCATAGCGTCTTACCTTTAACTTAGTAAGATGTTCCCATACAAATTGCATATCTGATATTTCTGCATCCCCTGTGCATATCCACAGGAGAACATTTCTATATACTATGCTTGCAGCTTGAATTGCTCGCTTCTGTACGGCTACAACTGTATCTACTACCAATAACTGCAGATGGCTTATTATTTTTGGTAGCAGATTTTGATGTGATTTACTGCAACAATATTCATTTCCTAGTGATTAAATAAACACTTAAATGAAAGAAAAATCCCTACAAGTACTTTTGCATGTGGATTGTAGCCTGTAGGTGCCTATTCAAATTGTAGGTATTTTCAACTAGCATTAGCCTGCGGCAAAAAAAAATGGATTTTATACAAATTTCCAACCTTATTCACTCCTTTAGGATATAGATTTCCAAAAATTCTTACTTAGCAGATACCTACTATTTGGCATCTACCTGCCAAATAAAATTTATATATTTAAGTGTTATGTATTTATACTTTCCGAGATTGTGGAAATAATTTGTAAGTGGAATTTTACTCATATTTAGAGCTAGATACCAACACAATCACAGCTTATAAAATTTAGTTTAAGATTTTGTTTTATAGCAGATAAGCCAACTATTACATAAAAAGAAGTGCTGTTATTTTCACATAAAATATTGAATATTTTTGCTAACTTCATGTATTGATCATACTTTACCTACAATTCAATCTTACCTCAACTCTTCAATAAAAGCAACGACTTGCTTTTTGACATCAGTCGACTTATCACTAACAAAACTCAATATGTTTTCCATATATATGGGTACCATTTGAGATGCTTGGTGCAATAACACCTCTATAATTTTCCTTAACAAATTGGCCTTTTTTGTACCCTCTGCCATTCCAGCCTCGTTTATCCATTGTACAAGCTAAAATGAAAGGAAAATAAAACAACATTTTGTAAAACAATTAGCTTTATTGCAATAAAATTACAATCAGTACATAGTTAAAACAAACCTGGGCTTGTGCTGTTGCACTTAAGTTTTGAGTATATTTACTAGACATTTTTACAATTTAACTTATTTTGCTTTCATAGCATAGGAATAAATTGAAATAAAAGCTACAAATAAGATTTTAGATCAAAATAGCAAGCTGAAGCGTACATCGCGGGTTATTGTAAGTTTTGATATATAACCTTGCTATATCTCATAGCTTTTTATGACGTGGATTGGAAATGAATCAGGCGTATAATTTTCCTTGCGTGGAAAAGAGAAGTCCAAGCTGTCATTAGACAAAAAAGTGACTTCTAAAATTATTTGGGTTATATCTCAACATGACATTTAAAAATGTTGTCATCATATTAATATAAAGTTCAGAAATAAACGTAGTATCATTATGAAAACAGGTTGTAATTTTATACATTTATTTTATATATGACAATATAATGAACACGATGTTACATATATTTTAAAGTCATAATTTTTTATTTTATTTATTTATAATATAACTATGAAGGGGAAATGTAGAACAAATTGACTTTTTATATTTTTGTGTGACGTGTGAACGGCTTAGGTTAGTTCATAGAGTATATTGCTACATATATAAAATGATTTCCAAAATTTATAATGGCACCAGAGTACCTTACAATTTTTTTGATTTTAATTCTAAACATTTTAAATATTTTTTTAATAAGTATTATAATTAAATACATAAATTTCCATACATACATATAATAAAATTGTAACTAATCCGAATATTTTCAACCGACTTCAAAAAGGAGGAGGTTCTCAATTCGACTGTATTTTTTTTTATGTTTGTTACCTCAGAACTTCGTCATTTATTAACCGATTTGGACAATTTTTGTTTTTTGAAAGGGTATACTTCCAGATTGGTCCCATTTAAATTTCAAAAAAAAATACCACTCCTAAGGGTGGAAAAATAGCTAATAATGAATTTAACCTACTTCTAATTGTCATATTGACTTGAAACTTTGCAAGTGTTTCTATTTCCGTTGATAGTACAGTGGTTCGGTATTTGGAACTCTTCACCGACTAATAGTAGATACTTTGAGTTTGGTCTTATTTTGTTTGGTTTGACAAGCCTAACACTTTAGAATTCTTACTTTGCTACTACTGTCTACACTAAAGAGGAAAAAATAAAAACTTTTTAACAAAAAAATAAACACCGACTTCAAACAAACATTTACTATACATACCTAATCAAATATTTTCGAAGTCGGTGTGCTTTGCTTTGTATGGGCTGGCACCGATTTCGAAAATATTTGATTAGGTATGTATAGTAAATGAAAACTACCAATCAGTTATTTTTTACTTTTTAGTGCTTTTGTTTGAAGTCGGTTTTTATTTTTTTGTTAAAAAGTTTTTATTTGGAAAATCTTATTGAAATAAATATTATTGTCGGTTATCCGGGTCAGCATATAGGATACTTTTTACCGCGGGAAAATATCTCATTTCTGAGGAAAAATACAAAACCTGTAATGTAAGAGTATACTAATACGGAAAACATAAGAATTTTGTTTTTGGTCATCTGAACGCAGGCGGAGACGCGGGTAATGCTAGTGTAACATAATATTATATTTTAGTCAGGTATATTTTTTTTATACGTAGATAATCAAGGAAGATAAAAAACAATAAACGACATAAAATACGTCTAAAATAATATACAGCCACTGTATTTAGGCATTTTAATAAATAATTCATATAAAATAAAGTCAGTGTAAAATTGTTCTACGTAAATTCTTTAAAAATTTTCTACGCACAATCTGTAAAAATAAGTAACAAAAATATTATTACAGCAGAGGGGCTCTATGAGTAATGTAGAGATTTTGCATCTCAAAATCTCGTGGTTTGTTCTTCTCTTCAATTTCAAGATATGAGCTCCTCACTACTACTAGGCAGTAGAAAATGATAACTGAAAAATACAATTACATAAAGATACGTTGTATTCTTATAAATGTTTTATTTTTTATTTTAATGAAAATATTACGTAGAAAAATAAAATAATGAGCTTAACATTATTCGATATTATAATACTTTTACTTTTAGGAAATATGCCGTACCTATTTACGAGTATCTATTAAAATATAACATTTTTTGAAATTTTCTTTCGTCTATGATTGAATAAAGATCTATAAAGGTAAGACAGATTACATGGGCACAGTGTTTTTATAGGAGTCCTGTCTGACCCGTTTAGTTACATAATTCGATTGAGTATTCTTAATACCTACTAATTACATAAGAATTAAAAACATTAAATAAGGTACCCACCACTCCATTTAAGAAAAGTTATTGTCGCAATAAAGTGTAAAAACACTGTCGAGACCACCACAGTCGCCAACGCCAGCATCAACAAGAACAAGCCGGATTGGAAGTAAGCTCGCATTAAAATTGTTTTATTCTGGAACAATGGTACAGATATAGATATATGCTATATATACCTTAAGATTATATAGTATCTTTTATTATATTACGGCAAAAATGTTGTAGAATCAAACTAACTAACAAAAGCTCAAATTATTAATTTTCATTAGGTACATCCATCCAGGTAGCTATCTTGTTGAGCTGTCATAATGAAATATATAATAACTATGAAATATTCATGGCTACGATGCAAGAGTCGATAAAAGAGCGGAAAGACAGACAAAGACAGTACAATAGTACCTCTACCTGTAGTACCAACTAATTCCAGTCTAACAATATGGTGCAAAATTAATTTCTAATACATAATTGAAATGGGGAGAAGGAAGAAAAACGATGTGAGATCTAGGATGGATATGATATATAACGGAGTTCCAAGCTTCGGCTAAAATTGTGAAGCATTAATTTATATTTATATTTATACGCCTCAGACTGGAACTGCAGGGAATAATTGGCGAAAGAAGTTTATTAAGCACAATAATGTTCGTTAACCTTTCAAATGACTTACCATATGCACTCCAATAATAAGCATGATACTTATAATAAAATTATACAAGTATACAATCATCATATACGAATGCACTATGTAGAGACTGTTGGCGACATTTGCGTATTCTTCTGGCGAGTGTTCTTTGTCTGCTTCATCATGTGTAGCGACGAACGTAATTACTTTGTAGAGAGAGAAGGACAACACAGTTAGAGCGAGAAGGGAAAACACCTGAAACAGAAAACGTTCTTCTCTTCAGATATATGCTATTCTTAGTCATTACTGAAATCCCTCGACCAACTCGCTTGGCCTCCTGAAGGAATGCCTCAAGGGATCCTCGAAATTGGTACCTATTCATAAACATCATCTTGAGTAAATCTTAGAATCCCTCAAGTGATTGTGACGTGGGAGAGTCGAGGAAAACGTCATGAATTACGCCTGTTGGCACCATCATTGTTTTGAAATAATAATGGCAAAATTAATCTCGTCACAATATCTTTGGTAAAGTGACACACATTCATCATAGAACTCCATAGGATTATTTATTGTATCCCATAAATAGCACCGTGATTCTTCAAAAAATTTTGTTTATCTGCCGGTCTGTATGATGATGTTGATGCTAATCTACGAAACGGCTGGACCGATTTTGACGGGACTTTCACTGGCAGATAGCTGATATAATAAGGAGTAACTTAGGCTACTATTATTTTTGAAAAAATCGGGGTTCTGCGCTAAAAATTAAACGCAATGAAATTGTGAATAAAATCCGCATACCTACCTCTCCAGGTTGGTAATTTAATTTTTTATCATTTTAGTATGTAAAAGAGTTACTGGATGTTTCTTAAAATTTTACCATTTTATCGTCATAAGATTTTAAATCAAAATTCTTGTAATATCGTCGGTATTTACATCATATAAAAAGGAAACATTGATATACCAAATATTTGTGAAATAGTGCGTAGCGTAATACAACGCACATCTGAAACTTAGTATTATATCAACATATGTTTTCGAAAGACATGTGAAGTCCGCCAACCCGCATTTGGCCATCGTGGTGGATTATGACCTGATCCCCCTCGTATTGAAGGGAAGACCGTGCCCAGCAGTGGGACGTTAAAAAGGGGTGAATAGATGGTCTGTTACATTACTCTCTTAAAAAACTTCGGAAACAAACAATTAAAATAAAGCCGCGAAAAAATCCGAAAAAAAGTGTCATTTAAATTAATATTCGCGTAAATCTCATTATATCATATATTACGAATTCATCATTTCATTGCAAAATATAGAAGTTACGTATACATTAAAATAAAAAGCTTAGGGCTTATGCACTGTGTAGTTACACGTCGACTTCGTGCTTGACGTGTTTTGTATCGAAACGAACGCAAGCAATTTACATAATATTTTTAATTATTCAACGCAGAATGTGCAATGTTCCTGTACATAGTCTTATAACTTTGATATACTATTGGTACCAACCAAAACAATTTTGTAATAAAGTATTTATATGACTAATTTATTTTGTACGAGCAGAACCCGCGGCTTCGCTCACGCTTAAACGACAAAAAATCTAAATAGGTGGGTTTCATACAAACTTTCATCCCCTATTCTGCCCTCTTATAGGATGAATTTCAAAAAACAATAACACACGTGTTTATTTATTTTTATTGAAGAGCATTAATACCAATTTTCAAGTAATTTTGATCATAAATATTTTTTTGGATTGTATGATAACGTGTTTTCATGTGGAAATTAGATAATATCCCGCGGTGAAAAGTAGCCTATGTCACTCTCCAGCCCTCCAACTATCTCCACACAAAAAATCACGCCAATCCGTCACTCCGCTTCGACGTGAAAGAAGGACAAACAAACAAACAAACAAACAAACAAACAAACACACACACTTTCACATTTATAATATTAGAATAGGTATATAATTTATATTTATTCAACACAATGACTGCCAAATAAATATAATTTTCTTTTAAATTGAAACGGTTGATTCATTTACTTTCCATTACTGGACGGTAACTACTGTATAGCTGTCCTAATAGATAAATAAAGCTGAAGAATTGATTTGATTTTTTGTTTCTTTAAACACGTTATCTACTATCTATCACATCTACTGTACTAAATCAATTTGCCAATGCCCGAGCCCATTTGTTGAACAAAACTCATAGGAAGGGAATAATTACATAGATAAACGCGGACATAATCTCGACCAAACGCTAGTAAATATTTAAAACTAATTTATTGATATTTATAAAGTTAATAGTTTTAAGAAAAGGTTTATTGTGAAATGGCAACGTGTTTATTTGGGAATATGTATATGTATATGTATATATATATATATATATATATATATATATATATATATATATATATAGTTAGTTGTTTACATATATTTTGTGTCACATAGTTATTTTCTTTAGCTTAATATAGATAATAGTAATTAATTATCATACTTTGATAATAAAAAATAAAATTTGTAAATACAACACTATATAAAAAAATGTAAACAAATAATAATTTGCACCGAAACAAGACGGCTGTTATTATCGATTAAGACGGTATTGTTGATGTATTTATCAGTCAAATGATAATAATGGTAAAAATACACCCAAAACGTGTCATTAATTAATGTTTAAAATGAGCTACAAAAATAATATTTAAAAAAAAACAAGTGAAAAATATTTCGTAGAAACAATAATAAGTGAAGGAAGATACTCACAACAGAGATGTATCCAATGATAAGCGAACCGACTCTCAGAGACAAGCAACAGCAGAACTTTTGCAGTCTCGGAAGCTCCAGCGCCATTATAATACACTCACAGACAACACAAAAAATCTATCAAACTTAGAATAATCTAAGCTTTTGTTTATTTATGTACTGATGCAGATTATTTAAACTGCATGTATTATTTTTTTAGGTTAATATAAAAAAAGACATTTCTATAGTAATGCAGTATCGTGTTGCGTTATCTCTTATCAGTTTAGGCGTAGATAAAGAGTGACCAATGGATGACGACTAGTTATACAAAATATACTGCTTTTTGTTTAAAAGTATTGCTTAATATGTATGAAAATTATTCGTTGGAGAATACATATATCGCTCACCTAGATAAAGACTTTTGTACTTCACGTCGCGTCAGCGTTTTATTCTTTATAAGGCGCAAATTCGGCACCACATGGAGTACTGTTCTCATCTTTGGGCGGGAGCTCCCCAGTACCAGCTACTTCCATTTGACCGCATTCAATGTAGGGCGGCTCGAGTTATCGACGATCAAGCTCTCTTCGATCGGCTTGATCCTTTAGCTCTGCGTAGAGATGTTGGATCACTCTGCATCTTCTACCGCATTTATCACGGGGAGTGTTCCGAGGAATTGTTCGGACTGATCCCGGCTGCTGAATTTCATCATCGGACATCGCGCGAAAATATTAAATTCCATCCACACCACCTCGATGTCCAGCGTTCCAGAACAGTGCGTTTTTTAAGGCATTCTTTGCCTCGCACAACCACTCTGTGGAACCAGCTATCGCCGGCGATCTTTCCGAACCGCTACGACCTGGCCACCTTCAAGAAGAGAGCTTATTCATTCCTTAAAGGCCGGCAACGCATCTGCAAGCCCTGCGGTGTTGCAGATGTCCGTGGGCGGCGGTGATCACTTTCCATCAGGTGAGCCTCCTGCCCGTTTGCCCCCTTAGTCCCATACAAAAAAAAAGAGTAGCACAACTCCAAATAATCCAAATTCGGGTTATTGCCATTATAGGAATCTGCGTTAAAAACTACATAAAATCCTGATGATTTTATCAAGATTATTAATTTAAAATGAAAAAATAAAACTATATTTGGAATTTTTGGTGTTCCAAAATATCTTCAAGTGTTTGTTATTAAGATGGATACCAGTTGAATTGACAAGATTGATCAAATAAATATCTTCGTAAAATAATATATACGATATATATACATTTTAATATACGAGTATGAAATAGAATAACAGTAAAACATTTGTTTTCTATTCCTGAAAAAAGAAATATTTTGACTTTGGCCACTTTTTATCTACGTGTGCGATATACGTATGCGTATAGCATTAGATAGAAATTTGATTCTTTATAACTTGTATACGTAAGATCTGCAAGGAACAACATTGTACGAGTAACTCAGTACCGTAGCAACTTTTAGTGTAATACTATCGCTTTGCTAGGGTACAATAGGGTCTAGGCAACTTTTTGTATTTACAGATACTACCTACTACTTGTTTCGATCTATCTCTTAAGGTTGAGCCAGCGTTAGCCATGTAAGTCTCTAAGGATGACTCGAGAAAACCAGTTATTATGTTTTCGTGTACAAATGAAAGGTTTTCCTGTGGTAAAAGGTATATTTTGGGTCCTGTATAATTCTATCTACATTTAGAAATATTAAATTATATTGGCTCCTGAAATATTTCTTTTGATTTAAATTACAAGTAATGGCTTTTTTACATACCCTTTATTTCTTCAGCAAACATCTTTTTCTTCTTCAAGAAGAGTGACGTAAAAGCTGTATACCACGATAAACGAATAAAATTCTAAAACTGAAAATAAAAAGGGAATGAAATGAAAAGTGAGAAATTTATACTAAAATAAAATTTCTCTATCTATATATCTAGTTTTTGGCTTGTTATCAACATACAGACATGTCCATCTATTCAATTGATTTTAGTGTTTCATTTGGGATTTAGTAAGAGCTATTTACTGAAAAATAAACTTGAAGTCGTGCTTTTGATAATTTCGCCATAGAAAGGGTTTAAAGCTTCAATCTACTCTACCAATTTCATTGGAGTCCATTAGATAGCCTTATATTTTTTTATATATGTTACTGTATAACCTTGAACATCGGCAAAATGGAGGTATTCCATTAAAATCTAAAGCTTGTTGGGTCTAAATTTTAATAGTCTAAAGTACCAAAATAGTTAGTAGTTATGAAAAAAAATGAAAGGTAAGGGTTCTCACCCCCATTAATCCCTCATTAACAGGGATAGAAATCTGAAATTAGGTGGTAAGGTGTTTTGGATAAAGAACAATAAATACAAGGTGCCGGTGGTGCAGTTTTCATTTGCTTATAAAGCCCCTACACAAAGTGTGTAGATAAAAAAGTTATTTACTTACACACGAAGCAAAGTATCCCCAAGTACCAAGCAATCAGTGCCTTATTGACAACGCACAGAATAAAGTAGCCGATCACTTCTATCAGCCATGTCACAATACGGCACATTAAATAGTGCTCCAATAAAATAGAATTATTCTAAAATATTTCGTAAATTATATTAAGTGTAATAAATAAACAATTTAATTTTATATTTTAATGTTTAATTAATAATATTTATATTGTTTTTAATTTAATTTAAAATCCTTATACTTACATGAAAAATCCCTACTGCTAAGTGTACCATGGATATCAGTAACACTCCTTCACACAGCATCAGTAGAACTAGCATATAATAAAAAGTATATAAGTTTTCAATTTCCAATGGTTTTGTCACTAAAATTATACCAACAGGCGATTGTTCACCAATGAGACCCTCCAAAATTATAGTCGAAAGTAACAGAAAGCAAAAAGAAGAACGTAGCTGTAAGTAAATAATATAAAAGTTTATAAAAGTAGGTTGCTTCCCCATACAAACTTTTATCCCCATTTTTGCCCCTCTTAAGGGATGATTTCCGAAATAAAAACTATCCTATGTCCTTCCCAGGGTCTTAAACTAACTTCTTACCAAATTTCATCTAAATGTGTTCTGTAGTTTCGGAGCTTATTCAGTACAAACAAACTAACAAAAAAATCTTTCCGCTTTGTAATATTACTATAAAAAATATTAAGTT